ATATAGTTAAAAATAAATTTTTTTATAGTTATAGCAATTATAAAATAATTTTTTTAATAATATATATTAGTTTATTGAACTATGTACATTAATCTAAATTAATTGTATGAAATTTTTACAATTGCCATTATGTTTTTCTCTGAATTTTTATTTTGATCCATAATTATTTTGATGAGCCAACATAATTAAATAAAAGAAATAAAATTAATTAATTAATTAAATAAGTTTCTAGACATTTAGCCGAATTTTATACTTCAGCAAAATCGTTTTTTCTGTCTATATTATGAAAGAATTATTAAAACCTGTTTAGAAAATTATAAATTTAAAATTAGCAAATCTCTATCCAAAGTAATAAAGAAATTATAATAAAATGTAAACTATTTAATCAAGATTGTATCATAACAAATTGTATTTATAAAACTGTTACTCGATTGACATGTATAAAGTAATTTGATCAATCATTATCAATACAGTTGCTTGCATCGTAATCGAAAGGTAAATGATCAGATTTTTCTATGAATTGCTCATTCAATCGCGAATTCTTATCGATTTCCTGACCCCAAAAAATAGAATGTGTTGAATTACAGATATGATAAATGATAACATTAGCATTGAACACCCTCATAATCGTCATCTTATGCGTGCTCGTAAACATATGAAAGTGATATCGTTTTTTTAAAACATGTTCGTTAAAACGTGTTCTTATTTTATTCTTGTTTATCGTTATAGCAGTGAAATGGAAATATCTAATCAAATATCAGTGCACATTCAATATGCATTTAAAACTTCATATTTTGCAATATAAGCGGAGGAGAAATTATTCCCATTGGCATAGAAGTAACTACGAAACTAGTATTTTATAATGTATGTTATTGTAGTTTATTACTGTCGAACTTTGATTCAGGAGATAGCACTGTCAACATTCTAATTAGAATGAATAACATTATAATATGCGTTTGATCAAGATATCCAATGTATATCAAACTTTAATACTTCAGATGCTTTCTTTAATAATAACAATTTGCCACTGCATATATTTATTATACTAGTATATTGTATTATTTATATATCTAAAAAATCTATGAGATAATTATAACAGACAAGGTTAAGTTTATCGAAGTAATCTTGTCTTAAAGGAAGAAATATAATAGAAATATAATATTTTAACGTAAAATTATTATCATTATAAAATTCGAGAGCAAACTGAATTATATGACTTTTAAATATACAAAATGTAACGCTTTGTCATTTACTTAGAGACATTAATACTGTGCAGTCAGGAGTATCACCTGATTGTACTAATGCGTGATAGAAAAATCGGATTACACCTAAATTCCAGTGAGAGTAGCTAATGTGCGCACATAAGAAAAGAAAGCAAATAAAACTGGGTGAAGAAGAAGCTCAACAGGAAAAGAGCAACAGAAAAAGATGCGATCAAGAGCATTATTTAGTACGGTGTGAAAGATAGATCTCTCGATCTTGTTGTAACGATAGTATTTGAAAATTGCGTTTACTGCGGCACTAGCGCGGCGTTACAGAACGGATGATTAATCACGTTTAGCGAAAATCGGGCTGCTGTGTTCATTGATGCCTAGAAGTCACATGGCCTTCCAATTCGCAGCATTACTTTTAAACAGCATTACATATAAATGCTCGCTCGAAGTAAATAAGTGAAATCTGTAGCACTTTCCATGTCATTTAAATATAAATTTTAATTTTACGTAAAATTATGTGTCCGTTGAGATATCACTTTAGTGCAATTTATATTTAATAAAAGAATAAAACCGTTTGCGTATTGGACATCGGTATTTCTGCATCGCCAGTCATGCATAGTCTTGCATGAAACGAGTTTATTATATACTAAATTTATCGCGTTCATATATTCAGCTATCAGCAATGTCTTATTAATAATATATGATTCATTATGTTGGTGACTATAAATATCTAAATGTGCATAGAGTATAACATTAATTAGATTTTATATAGCTATTAATTTCCTGTTTTTTCAAATAAAAAAAATGTTGACTAATTAAATATTAATGCATAAATATTAATGCATAAATCTTTTAACATTTAATAGATACCTAATTCTTCGAACAGAAAACTAAATTCATACAACGAGAGATTTTATAATTATATGTAAATTATATATACTCTTTCTGAATTTTTTAATTTTTAATTTCGAATATATATTATACAATTCAGTAATAATGTTATAAATAATTCTATTTTAATATATCCATCGTATTTCTGTTCGGTTGTATCAGCATCATTAATATTACGAGATCATATTTGCACCAAGGACTACTTGACTGTACGGTCCATTTTTCGAAACATTGAAAGAGCTATCTCTTGTCCTTACAAATGGATAAGAGTTCGAGAGCTGCGATCCAAAGAGTGCAGAAAGAGTGACTTTGATCGAACGACTTTCTTCCGCATTTGGTTCGTAGAACTTACAACGGCATTGTAAGGGTGACGAGTGATTCGCGAGGATGATTAAGAAAGGAAGAGACGAGTGAAAGGATCTCAGTACGTTTGCCGTGTATAGTCGTAGATTTGACTGATAACTACGCCCAGTTTCCCGCTGGCAGAATACAGGTTGCAGATACTTGATCTTGAGCGTTGCTCCCAGTCCCAATGGAACTGGACATTCTGACCTCACTTCCATTGTCTGCCGATTCTCCTGGAAGGGTTACCGGTATACTTTCACTCTCTTCTTTGCAGGGGAATCTCAATAAAAATGAATTGGAAATTTAAAAAGCAAATCTCTGCGGTCTAAAGTGTGAAATGCTCTATTGAGAGAATCATTAAGTTTTAAATGCCTGCACTGAAAAAAAAATTGGCTGTTGCAATAAATTAAATGGTAAAATATAGCATAATATTTTTAATTGCAACAACCAATTTTTGACTATGGTAGCCTATCCACAATGTTAGTATAGAATTTCAGGCTAACGCAACCAAAAATTTGCTGCTGCAATTAATTAAAAATGCTATACCATATTCAGCCAATCTTTTCTTTCAGAATGCTAAATTCCTAAGTCTAGTCTATCTGTAGTAAGTCTAGACTATCAGTAATCAAGATATTTTATAATATGATTAGAAGAACATCAAGATTTTTAGTTTTATTTGATCATTTTAATATACATAATGTTCTTGTAATTTTTATTTAATTTATTAATATATAAATTAACATTAAACTTTAAATCTAAATCAAAATTTTGAAATCAAATAAATAAAATCAAACACTTTATATTATGTATATGATAATTATTATATCTATAATAATCGTTTGATAAATACGATATGAGCGTTAGATAATTTTATGACGATTTGTTTTGATGAAAGAAAAAGATAGAAAGATTTCCGTCGTGATAAACGAGGATTCCTCCCGTTGCCATTTTTCAAATCTGTTCATAAAAGTGCATTCTTCAGATTTTCTATAAGAAAATTGCTCATATCTAGTTAATTAATGATCATACTAGATATATTGTTTCTGTCAAAAGATATATTGTTTCTATCAAAAGAACGCTTTTCAAGACTTAATGGTTTGGTATTTTTGTCATTGCTTCTTTCTATGTCAGTTATATATTTCTTCACTTATTTGCTTATCTATATTAACTTCTTTTACAAATAATTTCTTGAA